AGTGGTATTCTGGACGAAATCCAAGAAGGACAGAAATCGGATTTGAGCTTAGTTGATCGGTTGACTTTGATCAATCAAGGCCAAGGTGGTGATTTACGAATATTCTTATTTAAATAAATTAAATAAATATTCCAATAAACTTGGGGTGTTACAACTCTCCCCCACTTAAAAGAATTTTTGCCCTCGAAAATTACCTCAAGGAAACAGAGTCGGATATGACTCCCTCATCTGATCCTCACGCTCCCAAACCCAACATTCTCCAACTGGTCCTCCGAAAACCACCTTTTCTAAGGAAATATCTTTACCTCGCAGTTGCTTCACTTCTCGTTTATCAATCTATACTGGCAATGCCTCAACAGTCAAATTATCTCTCACTTGTACATCATCCATCTAAATCACATGTGATGGATCTAGAATGTACTTCCTCAACTGAGACACATGAAACACATCATGCAAATTCGCAAGTGACGGCGGTAAAGCAATCTGATATGCTACTTCTCACACCCTCTGCAAAATCTGATACGAACCAACAAAGCGTGGTGTGAGCTTTCGAGACTTTAAAGCTCGGCCAACACCAGCTACTGGCGTAACTCTCAAAAACACGTGATCTCCCTCCTGGAACTCAAGTACTTTCCTCCTCTTGTCGTGATAACCTTTCTAACGACTCTAAGGTGTCTAAGGTATATCCTAGACACCCCTTATAGCAGCGCTTTTGAAAAGTGGTGTCTAAGGTGTGACCTAGACACCCCCATATAGCAGCGCTTTCTAATGTTGGGCTTTAGCAGCGCTTTTTATTGGTTACTTACTTATGACCTTTAGCAGCACTTTTCAAAAGCGCTTTCTAAAGACCCCCTTTAACAACGGTTTTTCCCTTGTTTTTTTAAATATTTTTTTAAACTTTTAGCAGCGCTTTTATGGAAAAACACTGTCTTTGTAGTGCTGCCAAAAAGTACTTTTGGCGTAGTGCTAAGTCAAGGTGTTTGGATCTATAACACATAGACTTGTGTCAAATCAGTTGAGAAGAAAACTTGATGACAAGTCGAGTCAAATGATCTTGATAGGATATCATTTGACTGGAGGATACAAGTTGTTCGACCTAGTGAACAAGCAAGTAGTGATCAGCAAGGACATGCTCATAAATGAGCTTAAAGAATGAGATTGGACTGAAAATGTTAAGAAGGATTCAGTGGGAATCTTATGTGAAGAACTAGCTAGTGAAGTCGAAAGAGAAGTTCGGCAAGAAGAAGTCAGAGGGAAAGCAGGCCCAAGAAGACCTCAACGAATAAGACACATGCCTGCAAGGTTGCATGAATGTGTGATTACATCAGATGATGTGGTCAATGAAGAAGGTGAGCTGGTACTCTATGCTTTGTATGTAGATGTCGAACCAGTCAATGCAGCTGAGGCATTGAAGGATTCGAAGTGGGTGAAAGTAATGAATGAGGAAATAAAGTCCATCAAAGCCAACAACACATGGTCACTTGTCGAATTGCCTCAAGGCAAGAAGGCAATTGATGTGAAGTGGGTATACAAGGTGACGCTAAATCCTAAGGGAGAAGTAACTCGAAACAAGGCAAAACTTGTGGCAAAAGGATTTCTTCAGAAAGGAGGAATCGACTTCGACGAAATTTTTGCACCCGTTGCTAGGATCAAAACAATCAGGTTGGTTGTTGGTCTAGCAAACATGAACAACTGACAGGTATGTCAGATGGATGTGAAATGTGCATTCCTGAATGGCCTCTTAGACGAAGAAGTTTATGTTGCACAACCAGATGGGTTTGTGAAACAAGGCGAGGAAAGAAAGGTGTACATACTGCATAAAGCCATGTATGGACTTAAGCAAGCTCCAAGAAAATAGATAGCTTTATAAGAGAGAAGGAATTTGTGAAGTGCACGACTGAGCATGAAGTATATGTAAGGAGAAACAACAGTGAATTACTTATACTATATCTCTATGTCGATGACCTATTGATAACAAGAAGTTGTAAGAAAGAGATCGAAGATTTCAAACATGACCTAAGTGAGGAGTTTGAAATGTCAGATTTGGGAAATCTCTTATATTTCCTTGGCATCGAATTCTACAAAAGTGGTAAAGGTTTGATTATGCACCAAAGAAGATATGCAGGCGAAATACTTAAGAGATTTGAGATGCAAGATTGCAATCCAACTCCGACTCCAACTGAGCCCAGATTCCAACTGTCGAAAGATTCAGACGAAGATGATGTCGACCCAACCCAATATAGAAGAATGTTTTGGTCATTTTGATACCTTTGTCACACAAGACCTAACTTAGCATATAGTGTGAGTATGGTAAGTAAATTCATTCAGAAGGAAAAGGTATCACATCTAGCAGCGGCGAAGAGGATACTAAGTATCTGAAAGGAACTCTCGACTACGACATTTTGTTTCCTTCAACTGATAAAGGAAAATAATGCAAGTTAGTGGGATACACCGACTCAAGTTGGTGTAGTGATGCTGAGGATAGAAAATCCACAGTTGGCTATGTGTTTATGTTAGGTGGTGCACCAGTTGCTCGGAGTTCGATAATGGAGCCAGTAGTGACATTGCCGTCATGCGAAGCAGAATACACAGTTGCTTCTTTTTGTGCATGTCAAGCAAAGTGGATGGTGAACCTGGTTGAAGAGATTACATCGAAGAGTCATTGAGCAATTAACATGAAGATCGACAACATGTCAGCTATTAACCTGGCGAAGAATCCAATAGCACATGGGCGAAGCAAGCACATTGAAATGAGATTCTATTATCTTCGAGAGCAAGTAATAGAAGGGAAGATGAACTTGGAACACTGCAGAACTGAGAATCAGATTGCAGATATCATGACGAAAGGTGTGCAAGTTGAAGTGTTCAAGAAGTTAAGGTTTATGATGAATATAGATAGCTTAGACACAATGAATTAAGTGGTGTGCTGAGATTGTAATTCCTTGTGTCGAAGCAGTATAGCTCGACAGAAACAAGGATTAGTCGAAATTAGCCTAAGGTATGTGTGTCGAGTTGTTTAGATTTCGAAGTGTCAAAACAGGCTATTTGACACAGAATTTCGGCTTAAACCAAAAATCAAGATTGATTAGGAATTCACAAAAGGTTTTGGGTTAATTCCAACAGTAACTAACAACACATTAATTTTTGTGGCATGTACTCTAAACATGCGCCAGCATGCATGGCGCCTATGTATAACAATTGCGTGTATGCGCCATTCATAGTGACTACACCTCATGCTAGCTTTTTTTTTGGTTTGAAACATGGTTAGTTTCGTTTTTTTTTGAAATTATAATTATTTTGTAAAATTAATTGATAAAGTTGGTTTTTTAAAAAATAAAATCGACTTTAAAAGTAAAGAATTTATTCATGAACAAGACTGCAAATACATACATTTTCATATCACTCTTTTCTCACTAAATACTTGAGTACTTCGAGTTTGTAGAATTTATGTGAAACTGCGGACCCCTATAACCATAAACAAACATTGCTTATATACTAGACCGTTTACCGTCGAAATTGATAAACAAGCGCTAGTCTTCCAAATTTTTATATATCTTTGGTTACTTACAGGATTGACTAGATTGATCTTAACACATGTGCTTTTATTCGTTTTAAGTTTTTTGATGTATGAACATTTCGAGCTTTTATTCGTTTTAAGTTTTGTGATGTATGAACATTTCGACAATGTTCTGTTGATTAATTAAAGGTATACTACAATTCTTAAAGAAATGTAGAAAAATAAATTGTAAAGTAAATGACTTCAAAGTAAATTTGCAGGAAGTATAAATGACGAAATCTTAAATGGTTCAATGAAAATTATAAAAGTATGGTGGTCACACGTACATTTCACTCTAAAAAACTCTTTTCTCAACACAGACGGTCTTTCGCCAGAAGATGTCACGTCTTCGATTTGCATGCATTTCGCTGTTCAAAGCTCTCCACGTGTCTTCATGAAACGGATAAGGGGAAAAAACAATTATTAGCCTCATTTTGAATTGTATCCGTAGTCTTAGACCACAATTTCTTGTATGCAACGAGAGTCTTCTTCGACTATATCCTTAAAAATCTTTCTGTCGAACACAATATATTCTTTTTCAGAATAACTCTTCAACTTCTACTAGTTTATTTCCAATATTCATGTACGTCGAAATTTCAGCCAACAGGAACCGTCTGCAACGGTTAACTCAATAAATTGTGCCACGTTCCCAATGCCATGCAATCATCGTATTTGCAAGCTTTACACGTGTTCTTGGATAACCGTCTAATCTTATCCGCTTGTGGCTCGTTCGACCGTGTGCAGTTAGTAATATTACTTTGGAAACTCCAAATTTCACTAACTTACATATCCTTGGTCGTTAAATATGAAAATTCGACCAAGGCCACCATCATCCTTCGACGCGATCAATTCGTCAAAAAGTACAAATCTGATCATAAGGTCAACAACGGTTAGTAGTGGCTTCTATATAAAAAAGAGGGTGTCACTAACCATCACACAACATCAGAGTTTTAGTCTTGTAAAAATAAAAAATATTTGAAGTCGTGCATTCTCAAACACACTAACTGATATGACAACACATTAATTCTCTTATAGCAAAGTAAAAAACAGAATACAGCAATAGAAAACTAGAACTAACACCTAAAACCGACTAACTAATACAGACTAACTAATCTAAGTTTTTTGCATGAGGAAGTTGTGTAAGGTGTCAACTACACAGTTCATACAATCACATTTAAACTCGAAAACAATTAAAGCGCTTATCCATTATTCGAATGTTACCGTATCAACCATATTCACAATTAAACTGAAAAAGCTGAATCATATGACTACATATTCACATCAAAAGACAAGAAATATACTGCAGTCTGCAGAACAAATCCTGTAAAAAATCACAGAATATACAATATCAGATATCTGGGTTCATGCAAGTTTCAACCGCCACATCACAAGCTATGCCGCCTATTAAGAGGTATCATATCATCTCGTGTTTGTTGAAGTATATTCAGATGATAGAAACCTTGGCTAAAATAGAATCTGAATGAAGTACGTCCTGGCCAGAAACATGGGTCCTCTGATCAAGAAACTGCATGGCAGGTGAAATTCCAGATTGTTCTTCCATCTCCTGCTGCTGCCATCCACTGGCCACATGCTTTGCTTGTCCTGAATGAGTACTTGACTCTTTTGAATCTGTATTGCCAATCATCCAGCTCATGTTTTTCCATTGCTGCGTAGTAGCTTTGTTGGAAATCTGTGGATGGAAGAAATAAAATTGAAATACATATATCTAAGACTCCTTAAAATTGACATAAAAAAAATAAGATTAGTCTATCCTAGATGTGTGGATTGCATTCACCTTAAGTCATGCATAGGAGTATTACAAATAAAAACTAGACAAATATTAGGTAAAAAAAACTTTGATGAATTCCTTTTATCTAGTTATTTGCAAATTTGTCACTCACAATAGAACCCGATGAATGATAAAATGCTGTAGAACCCATAGGGTGATGATAAACAACACCGGTGTGGATGATAGGAGAAAGTGCACCGGGGGTAACAGCAGTGGAAGGTCCAGCTAATCCGGCTGGTTTTTGAGTATGCTGGAGCTGCAATAGGCTTTGCCTAACATCTTTCCTCTGAGCAAAAGCAACATACAGTGGTTTTCCATGGAACATGCGCCCTGTGGCATATAACATCAACTTAAATAACCAATAAACCAATAGTTTGGTAACATTTGCCTATCCAAATAAAAAGAATGACATAACAAAAGTATTGCTGAGAATATTGTTCTAAATGTATTTGATACATGGATAAAAATATTTTAATATCATTAAACAGATTCAAGAAACTTAACTCACCATGAAAACTGTTTACAGCCTTAACAGCCTCATCCAGGGTAGAGAAACAGACAAACCCAAACCCTTTGCTTTTTCCTTTCTCATCTCGCATAACTTTTGCAGAAGTTATTGTGCCACATGCACTAAACTGACCCCTTAGTTTTTCGTCACTAACACTATCATCAATGTTCTTCACATAAATGTTTGATCCCTGAAAGTTAAATGTTGACAAAATAAGAAAGCTGAAATTAATTAGTCAACTATAGGAAAAAGGGTATGGATTTACCTTGTATTTTAAGTTTTTCTCCATGCATCTTTCCACAAACCACTGATGCAAGATCTTCTCACGTTCAACCTTTTTTTGTGCCCTTGCAACATACAAGTTCTTTGAACCTAGTTATGAAAAATCAAAACCAGATATATGCAGAGAATCAACATCCAGGAAAGTGCAACTTTGTGCATAAAAGACCTATGTACTAAAAAGATAAGAAAATTACCAAATTGTGTTCCATTCATTGCTTCCGTTGCTCGTCTTGCATCATCCGGGTTTTCATAGTTTATAAATCCAAACCCTTTTGACAACCCCTTGTCATCCTTTGCAATAGCCAAGCTAATAATTTTTCCAAAAGAGGAGAACTTTTCTTTAAGATGTGCTTCGGTAATAACTGGGTCCAAATTCTTAACGTACAAGTTTGTATATATGGCATCAGGGTCAGCAAAAGAGCGCTCACTTTTTCTGATAAATTTCCCAACAAATCTGTGAGAAGAAATGGAATCTGATTAAAACCAATCTTAGGATAACTAAAACAGCAAATAACTGAAGGCACAAAAAACAGACTTGAAAAGACAACATATATATGGTGGAAAACTTTAACAAATTCTAAAATAGTTTCACATACATCTGCTTATCTCTCACAGTAGAGCCATTCATTTTCTGGATAGCATCATTTGCAGACTCCTCTGAATCAAACTGGATATAACCAAACCCTTTGCTCTTCCCATCTTCAGACATGACAATTTTGCTAGACAAAATATTCCCATATTCTTGAAATAAATCATGCAGTCCCACATTATCTATCGATTCTGCTAAGTTCTGTAATGATATTAACACCAGCAAGTTTTCATTAGAATTCATTTCAAAGACAAAAACAAAACAGAATATCACTTTCACATCAAACATATAAACCCTATAACATACCTTAACAAACACATTCCCTTTGCCACTTTTCCTTACATCACGACTTGACCACATGACCCTTATCACTTTTCCATTGAGTAAAGAATTGTTCTTCAGCTCGATAGCACAAATTGCTACTCAATCAACAAATCAAAGCATGGAGAATCAGAATACAATATAATTACAAATCAAAGCACGTAAAGTTGTTCTTTCACAAACTAAACCTAACTTAACTTCAAGATCGATATAGTTACAAACATAACTAACAGATGATAAACAACTAGCACAATCTTTAACCAACTAGCACAATCTAGCATATGTTCTTTCCTCTTTTTACTACATTACAATAAATCATGTGCAATTCATATAACTTTTTTCTATTTCTTTAATTAATTCCAATCTAATTTCGAGATAAAGGTTTCTTTACAGCAATACTAATTATAATAAGCCATTAATTCGAGCATAATTAACTTTCGAAACGCAAGAAAAGCAAAAGATGAATCAGTCAAATGAACTGAAAAAGAAAAATCTGAAATTAATTGAATCAGAGAAACCGTTAATGTTATCGTTACCTTCTTGACGAGAGGTGAGGTTGACGTAACCGTAACAGAGGGACTTCCCTGTGACCGAGTCTTTACAGATGTGAACGGAAGCGAGGCTCTTGAATTCCGAAAATGCCGCATAGAGTTGATCAGTGGTTACGTCGGAGTGAAGGTCGCCGACGAAAAGTGACGCCGTCACAGCCGGCACCGTCTGAGAATCCGACATAGTTGAACGAAAAAGAAAGGCGGCGTTGATTCTTTGGAAAAAGTTGTCACCGTAAATCTGTTACAGGAATGGATGAAGGAAGAGAGAGAAGAGAAGAGAAGAATGAGAATGTGAAGAGAGAGAAGAGAAGAGAAGAATGAGAATGTGAAAAGAGAGAAACAGAGAGTGGTGGGTGGTGAAGGTGAGTATGAGAAATTTGCATGGCGGGTTCGGTTTAAATACGGTTACGCGCGTTTCGTTAAAGAGCACACGGGTTCGTTTTTCGTTTTACATTTTTTATTTTTCTACGCAAATAAAAATATTTCAATTAAATAGTTTTTAGTTTTTATACATAAATTTTATTAAATACTGTGACTTAAATATCTCTACACTAGAAAATTACATGACGAATGATATTGTTAATTTAATATGACGGATATTTAAAAAAAGTTTTGTGTTACACCATTGAAACCAATATTCTTCAATTTTAGATGGTAGAAAATTCTTTAAATATTAAATGCATCACTCGTAATATATATTTCACCAAAAATAATTCATTAATAAATTACCTTTTTTCTTTCCTTGTTAATTTTTTTTTAGGAATGCTCTCTTTTTCATCTAATTCTTGTCTTTTATATTGAAGATTATACTATATATAAGATAACGAGTATGTTTTGAAACCTCAATCTCATTCTATTAGGTATAAGATAACTAGTATGATTTGAAAACTCAATCTCATTCTATTGTGTATAAGATAACTAGTATGATTTAAAAACTCAATCTCATTAACAGCAATGTGAAAGTATTAAAGTCTTATATCAATTAGGAATGAAATAAATGTTAGATTTAGAAAAGAATGTCTTTTATACTTTAATATTCAGCTCTATTATTTCAAAATTTTGGATCAATATATGGCGTGAAGGTCTTTTATACTCCAATGTTTAACTCTATTGACACTTCTGGGTCTTCCTCCTCGAACTCCCCGTCACTTTTGTGATTTGTAATTTTTTTTATTAAATATTCTTTTCATTATATTAAATTTTGATATTTTTCTTGAAATTTCAATTGTATGTTATGTCAAAGATAACTTAGATCAAGTTCTTTCTTTAAGATCACTTTGTGCAACTATTCTCTCTTCTTTGCATAAGAGTTGAACTCTTTTGAAATTTAATTCTATTATTGTTCTTGAAATTAAATTAGTCAATATTGTTTATCCTTAAAATTGTATGTGCTTGTAAAATAGAGTGTTCCACTTGAAAATCGAAAATGATCAGTGAAACTATGAGATGAGATCTTAGGTCGATAGAAATTTTTTTCAGTGTGCCAGAGAGGGAGATGACCTAAAAGGTTAGCGCTTCAACGTTCAAGGTAGTGAAATAATAAAAAGTAATGTGAGAATGATAATAGATTTGAATATCTAATATGACACGTTTTCTTTCTTATATAGTGTGAGCGGTTAAAACCATCTGCATGAGAGAAGACATGTTGTGCAGGTAGCTGTTAGAGTAGGTTCAAGTAATTTTCTCTTGTGATCCAAAATGGCTTCCAAAAATCCGGTGTTCAGAGATGGTGGCAGCAATAACAAGCCTCCATTGTTCTGTGGTGAATACTTTGATTTTTAGAAAATTCGCATGAAGGCTCATCTAAAAGCACAAGGAGAATATATATGAAATGTTGTACAAAATAGTCTGTTTGTTCCTACTAATCTTGTCAATGGTGTTGGGACAACAAAGATTAAAAGTCCATGGAATGAAGATGATAAGAAGAAGGTACTCTACGACAAGAAAGTAATTGTGAGATGTTGGATCGAACTCTAGTATGGTCGAAGTCTGTTCGCGAGTAATACGTGTTGTAGTCAAAGTTTGTTCTAACATGCATTAGTCAATATTGAAGGTGAGAAAATACTTAGAATTGGGGGGGGGGGGGGAAGGGGTTGAATAAGGATTTTGAAAATATTATGGCAATAAAAACACAAATTTTTTTATCCTGGTTCGTTGAACTCAACTACTCCAGTCCACCCTATCAAGAGTGATTTTCCTTTCTCTATAAGGACTTAATCCACTATAATCAAACTGATTACAATATTAATCACTAAGAACAACTGTCTTAGTCTTCTCAAGAATTACTGACCACAACTTGGTCTTCTCAAGGAACTTTTTACAATCAAATGTAAACTAAACAAGTGTTTGAATGCTTCTAAGAAAGCTATATTACAACTGTGATTTACAATTAAGTTTAAGAACTTATGAAAACTATTTAGTAAAGAATAATAATTTGTATGAAAGCTTTTAGAGAGTTTTCAATGAATTGTTCAATTTTCGTCAACTTAAGAAAGTTGTTGAAGGCTTGCTTTTATAGACTTAGAAGTCCAAGACGTTGCAAGCTTGAAGACAGTATACTGCAAAGTAGCTGTAGCCTTTTGTCTTCACATCACTTGACCTTTCCTAGAAGTAGAATGTTCAGAGAAATCCTTTTTGCCTGGGTTCTTGTGTCTAGCATAAAAGAGGAAAGAGTCGTTTGGCATAACCAACGGATATAACTTCAAATAATTTTCTTCAACAAGTTTCTAATTCACAACAATTAACATCAGAGCCTTGAGTGATCAAAGTCTTGATGTCTTCAGAGTTCACTGTATCAGAGTGTTGCAGCAAGTGTGCTTCAGCGTGTAATTAATCAAAGCAGAGTTTGGATATCATATCCTTAGTACATACAGCAAACAATACTATCAGAGTCTTCTGAAAAACAGTGCTTGAAACTCTTCATACAAAGTCTTCAGTCTACGCTTCAGATGCTTCTGTAACTTCTGCTTCAGATACTTCTGTAGGCAGCGCTCAGAGTCTTCTAAGAGATGCTTCTGACGCTTCAGAGCCTTGCGTAGTTCAACGTTCAGATCCATTTTTTCTTTCAGAAGAATATTAAATTTAATATCTGCAGCAAAAATACTTGAACAAATTTAGAGTATATAATTTCTTAATACAAAATTTCATAAGAGTTATCATCAAAACATAGAGATATAACTAAGAACCAATCTGTGTTCTAACAAATATTGCTAGGGTTGTTAGCATGTTGAATTGGGCCTTGCTTGTAAGCCCAATTGTTTAAGTTAGCTTGTATCCTAAGTTAACTTATAATGGGTAATTGTTAAAAAGCCCATTAGGTTAGTGTGCTATTTTTCTTATAAATAGGATACTAGTTTCTCAATCTTGTCATAAGGAAAAATAGGAAGATAAAATCCTAATTTCAAGAGAGAGAGGTTATTTTGTTATTCTTGTATACTTGTAATCTTGTTCTAAGAGAAAGGAAAGAATAGCAGTTTAATAACCAATCCTTGTTGTTTTCTTCTTTATTAACCCTAACCCTTGTGTGTTTCTTGATCATTAAGAAATTGTTTATACTTAGTTTTAAGGTATCCGATTCATAACAAATTGGTGCGGTGAGCGTGGAGAAGATGTCTTCAACAAAGTATGAGATTGAAAAATTCACCAGAGTGAACGAATTTGGTCTGTGGCGCATGAAGATGAAAGCCCTATTGGTTCAACAGGGTTGTTTGGAAGCGTTGAAGGGTAAGGCAGCCACAGACGTTGTGTTAACGACAAAAGAAAAGACGGGCATGATCGAGAAAGCCCACATCGTAATATTATTGAGCCTTGGTGATAAGGTTCTTCGACAGGTATCAAAGGAGACTACAATATCAGGATTATGGGTGAAACTTGAAAGTTTGTACATGACCAAATCTCTGGTGAATCGATTCTACCTGAAGCAAGCTTTATATTCATTCAAGATGAGTGAATACAAAGTGTTGGCTGAGCAGTTGGATATGTTCAACAAGCTAATTCTTAATCTTGAAAATATTGATGTGAAGATCGATGATGAAGATCAAGCACTGTTGTTGTTGTGTGCTTTTCCCAGAATACATACTCACTTCAAAGAAACTCTCTTGTATGGAAGGGAGTCCCTGACCTTTGAAGAAGTTCAATCAGCCTTGTATTCTAAGGACTTGAACGAACGAAAGGAGCATAAACCTTCGACGGTAGGCGAAGGTTTGGCCGTTAAGGGGAAATTCTTATGAAAGGATGGTAAGTTCGACAAGAAGAAAGGTAAAAGTCAACAGAAGCCTTATAGTGGCAAAACATCTAGTATTCGATGTTATCACTGTAAGAAGGAGGGTCACATAAGAAAAGTGTGCCCTGATCGCCTGAAAGATCATAGAGGTAATGGTAATGCAGCCATTGTTTAAGATGACTTCGACTCATTGATGTTCTTGTGATTTCAAGTGGAAACTCGAGAAAGGAGTGAATTATGGATTCAGGTTGCACTTGGCACATGACTCCAAACAGAGAATTGTTCGAGGAGCTATGTGATCAAGATGGTGGATCTGTGCTGCTAGGAAATAAAATATCTTGCAAAATTACAGGTATTGGATCTGTGAGATTCAAGCTCCATGACGAGTCAATAAGGTTATTGACTGAAGTCAGGTACGTACCTGACTTAAAGAGAAATTTGATTTCTCTTGGTGAATTCGACAGAAAAGGATACATTTTTTAAGGAGAGAAAAGTATCCTAAGAGTCATGAAGGGGTCGAAGGAAGTCTTGAGAGGCGTGAAGAAACAAGGCTTGTATACCCTTGAGGCTGAGGTTGTAAGTGGTTCGACAAATGTTGCATCCACAAAAACTATGTCGAAGACAGAATTATGGCACATAAGATTGGACCATGTCAGCGAAAGAGGCCTGGTCGAATTGGGGAAGAAGAACCTGCTAGGAGGTGACAAAGTCTAAAAGTTGGAATTTTGTGAATCTTGTGTATTTGGTAAATCCTGTAGGGCGAGGTTTAACAAAGGCAAGCAAAGAACACATGGATCCCTGGATTACATTCATGTTGATCTTTGGGGGCCTGCAAGGAATCCTTCACACTCAGGTGCAAGGTATTTTCTATCCATCGTTGATGACTATTCTAGAAAGCTATGGGTATTCTTTCAGAAGACGAAGGATGAAACTTTTGAGAATTTCAAAAGTTGGAAGAT